GGAAATTTTTAAGTAATATGTAGAACATATTATATACAAAGTTGCCGTTATTCTAAAGTGTTTCATTTTAATCGGTGTATCATGGCTCCGCGACTTAATAAATTCGCAATTCTTCAACATTTTAATATAAATAGTGATAGCGATTTAGCAGTTCGACTTCTTCGTACAGCTCGTTGGAGATGCTTTTCAATACAAATTTTTTATTAAATTTTTCTTCTAAGCCACGACAAATAAGGTCAATAATCTTTCTCATATTTTCCGAATTAAGGACATTAAATGGAATAGCGAAATAACTCTTTTTTGCTCATTTCGATTTTAATTGTTTGTTTTCGGAATGATTTTTTCACAACTATTGCACTACTACTTGAGCTGGAATCTTCATTTTTATTTATATTTAACTGGTGCATATTTTTTAAATGTGTTCTTAAATTAAATATTCTGTCCCTCTTCAACGAATGTTTGCAAATTTTACAAACTGCTAAATCGTTATCACTATTTATATTAAAATGTTGAAGAATTGCGAATTTATTAAGTCGCGGAGCCATGATACACCGATTAAAATGAAACACTTTAGAATAACGGCAACTTTGTATATAATATGTTCTACATATTACTTAAAATTTTCCCACAAATATAAACATATATATATAAATTAATAATTAATAATTAATATCATATATATCATATATATCATATATATCATAAATTTAATAATTAAAAAAACATAAATTTAGGCATAATCTATTTACAGATAAAATAATATTAATTGCATACAAATTGTACGCACACACATTACTTACAATTTTGCACAACTATATTCAATGCACCAACAAAGAAATAATGCGTACACATTCCCTTAAAGCAAAAACAAAAAGAAGAAATCCATATACATTTGCTAATAGCAAAACACAAGCAGCTAACGCATAAGCAAGCAAGTTGCATATATTCCAAATGCATAATAGTCAAAAATGTAAAATTGACTATTAGCAAGCAATCAAAATGAAACCAGTTTACGTTTTTTGCTGTTGCTAATGCATATTTTTATTTCATTTTCATATGCAATGCGTTAGCAATTATGCAAGCAATGCAATTAGCAACAGCAATTCAAACCCTGTTTAAAACACTAATTGGGTTGAACCCATTGACATTGAGTTCCAGGCATAAACACCTGGGGCCTCTCGATACTGTGTATATGTATATAGTTTAGTTCACAATAGCTGTAGGGACAGTGAGAATATGCTTTAATAATGTGTTAATATTTTTACAGTTATTTAAGTTATTTAATTTTTGAAATGAATCAGTAAAATAAGTAATATAATGTTTTTAATATTTCAAAGATTAGAACTTGTAAATTTACCAAAATGTACCAAAATTATACATATCACAATTTTGATAAAAGTTCAACTAAAATTTGAAACAAATTGGAACTAATATTAATTGAAAAGAAAAACAAACTAAAGATCAGGAAATTTTTAATATATATTTAATAGATGTATATTTTAATAGAAACGTATTCTGGACAAGTAGCTTTTCATAGTTCCCACGATTTCAACTAAGCTCATATCTTTTATCTTCTCTTCTTATAAACTATGGGTACAGGAAAATCGTTGGATAATAAATTTAATTTATAAAATTTAATTAATACGAAATAATTAATTTAATTAATTTAACAAAAAATAATTCGAAAACCACTGATGATGGTTTTTTGGTAATACTCGAAACAGTTGTACGGTCAGCCAAAAATTCAATTAATTGAAAATAAACAAAAGTTTATGTTGTTGCAATTTAGTACTGTTTGAAACCTATCTATTAAATATAATAGTTTCTATTAAGTAAAATAATCACTACCAAAATTAAATCCCCATTGGAGTTTAAAGCTAAAGGAATCGAAAAACGCTGAATAGTTTTCTATAAATATATTATGTCTAATTAATATGTCTCTCTTATATTATACTCTTTTATTTCTATATATATATATTTATTTATTAGATTTTAAAATCAAATATATGAAAAGTAATTATTTTTCAATTATTTACTTACTTATTATAAGAAATGGTGCAGCTAAATTAATTCCAATAAATTCAATTCCCAAATACATAGCAAATCCAAATGCAGCACAGGTTGACATTACAGCTGAAATATTACCCATCATACCTAACCAGGGCTTTGAACGTACTGCATCACCCATCATGCAAGTAAGTATACTGAAAGAACAAATGTTTTTTATGTGTAATAATAAACAAATAATATTTATTTTTTTATTGTTTATTAGATAAACTATTATTATTTTACTTTTATATACAATCAGATCAAATTAAAAATAAGCGAAAAAAATATTGATGTCAGATATAAAAATACAAAGATCTTATACGAATAGTAGTAGCACTACAATTATTTAATGTCTTCAAAAAACACTATTCTTTTTTCACTTACCTGAAGAAGGATATCAGAATAAATGTTGAACCAAAATATGGTACTACGGTTTTTGTATTTTTCTCTAATTCGTGATCTAAGGTACGTGACGCAAAATATGCTACTGATATATGCTTAAACATGCCCGAGTCTTCAGCTTTACCAACCACAGTCAAGAAAGTCTCCTCCCATTCGGCACCTCTGTTAATATGAAAAAAAAAATTAGTTTATATTTTCTGCATATTCATAATTGTAATTAATATTATTATGATATCTTTTTAAACAGTAGTAATTTATTTAGCTGTTTTCAAAAGGTTAAAGTAATTATTGTGAATCAGCTAATCAGATGGTAGGATCTATCACTCTACAATGCATGCTCTCCAACCGTTAGTCACGGACTTACCTTTTAAAATATCATTTCAAGAATCTAAACACCTCCCTTTAAAGAGCATTTTAGATTTCAGATTTACTAAAGTTAGTGTTTAAGCCTTGAAATTTCATATAGTGACAAAATGAGCCAAAATGGGCCTTATGATCACCGGTATAACCCAACCATGCTTATACCAGTTTCACATTAGAAGCGATTAGTCATCGCTTCTAATTTGACAGGCACGAGTTCTAAGCCTGGCACTTGCAGTCCAAACAAATTATATACGGACTATAAACTAATTAAATAAAAATTCGATTATTTCCAAAGACCACTGATGAAGAGTACTTGGCAATGCTCGAAACAGCGTTGTATGGTCAGCCAAATTTCAATAAATTAAATAAAAAATTTTTGTCTTTGTCCTTTCTTTGCTATTCGAATCGGTCTAACTTTTAAATAGTTTCTTTCGTCATAAAAAGACACGCCATTATCGGCAAGAAAAAATTTACCTTATGTTAAAGAATGTTTTTTTTTTTAATATCTTCTTATATCAGTCGTTAAACGACTGATCTCTGGGAAATTGGTTCCAAAAATACTAGATTAAGTTCATTTGACTATACATGGATTGTATCGTATAAAGATAAAAAAATTTTGATGTATTCAAGCTTTTATTTATCATCTCGGAAGAAATTTATTGGAACGGAAGAAAATCAGCACCACTACATAAGAATTGAACAATTTTTTCTAAGACATTCATGTTAGCTTACAACACCGTGATTTCTCTTATTATACGCTAATCAAGAAATATAGTAATTTTGTAGTTACCATAAAATTTGTTCATTCTACACACCTCAGTAAAAACTGATATTATTTTAGACACGTAAAATGATGTGGAGGTATACGATACTATAACTCTATTCTTTTTAAAAGTCGTAATAGGTACTGCTAGGCCGTTATGATCTTGGATATGGTGCCCTAGAGTTTGGAGTCAATCAAGGTATACTATACTTTAATGCTACTTTTTTTAAAGATTGTAATTATTTTAAACTGTTATGGTCTTAGACGTATATAATGCTATGTTTAAAATTTCACGTCATTTTTTTCTGAAACTGGGACTTATCAGCCCGCTTGATAAGGTAGTAGGTGCCATGAAAATAGAGGAAATGGGCAGAGTGAAAAAAGAAATCGCATTGAATATGTTTACTTAATTGCAGATTATTTAAAGAATCATAAAAAAATAATTTAGTGGTACTTATGATGTCTGTTTCAAAGGATCATAACTTTAAAACTGCATTTGAGAAAAATACTAACTTTGCATCTTGCCGTTTTGTATCTGCTGCCACGAAGTACACCAACTGTATGGCTGGTACACTTATGATAATATTATCCTCAGTCAATTTCGTCCCACCAAAGAATACCGGGAACGCATGCGCATCCCAAGTGACTGGATTGAACATTAATGGAAACGTTAAATTCAATTCACCAGATTCAATCTATAAAAAATTAAATCAAAGAATATTCAAAATATATTGTTATTCCAAAGTTGCATGTGGTGCGATCTTACATCATCCATGATAAAATCCAAATTTAAGATATCGTTTGAGAAGCATTCATTCTCCCAACGTGCACAAGCATCTTTGTACGTGAAGGCATCACCTTCAAAATGAACTGTGGCGTTTTGTATTATATCGTCCAGTTGTCGCAACTCCTTAAATATCTCACGTCGTATCATATTATCGTTTCCATCTTTTGGTATGACAATAACACGTCCAAAACGTCCTGGAAAAAACGACAAAAATTAGTTAATTCTACAAATTTATTATATTATTAATTTTGTTTTTGTTTGTTTATTTAGTTAAATTATTTAAAATTATTTAAATAAAATTTTATAGTCATAGTTGTAAAGCTACAGTTTTCAGAAATTCTATAAAATAACTATATATACGAGTAATACATAATCGCTTAAGAAATTTAATTTTAACTTGTAGAATTCTTCAGTTGAGCCATAGAATCACAACATGAGATTTAGTGATTTAATTCTACTCAATGAAATAGTCCAGGGGTTATTAACACATTCCAAGAATTATACTAATTTATGCGTCAACAACAATAGCGTCAACTGTGCAATTGTAGACTACGAATTAAGGCAAATCTTTATGAATTTCGCAATCTTGCAGAGTCCATTGGTACTTTGGAGATTGCAAAATTCTGAAATTCTGAACAATAAGGCATTTTAGTGAAGTGAATAATAATTCATTTGGTTCGAATTACTTCAATTGAATGCTTTAGAAATGAGCATGACTGTTGCAAACTTTTGTCAAATAATTATTCAATTGATTTACAAAACCAAGATATGATTCAGTGAAAGATCTAATAAAACCATGTGAAAAATAATATTTTTTAACATTACTAACTTCGACTTTTTACAAATTTGATTTAAGTAATTGTACGAGTAATACAAAGATTTCTATCTATTTAAAGATATTATCTGCTGATACTACTGATATAAATAAGAATAAATGAAAATAATAGTATTTTACACATATTATATGCATATTATTTGCGTCTCGAGTCTTTATAGCACTCGGTGCGAAAATAATTTTGGCCGTTTATACCATGATATCTTTCTGTTATCCTTTTAGATTTTGACATCATTTCTTAAAAATATTTTTATACTTCAAAATCAAATCTGAGAAAATTATCCTTATGCTCTTATTATTATATTACTAATTGGTTCATTGGTTCATTGGTTCATATATTAAGAGGAAGATATGAATATGAAGATTTCTACTCATATAAAAATAATTAATTAATATTTTTTTATTTTACCACGAATCTATGAAGTCTCTTATTTTTTAATTATAATTATGATGATATCTACTCCTATTATCTGTTATTTATTCATACTCATTAATAGGAGCAGGATATCTACTCTTATTATCTATTACTCATTAATACTTATTACTAGGAGTGGGATATCTACTCATATTACTCACACGACAACTCATGGATTAGTAAACTCTGCTAGTATACTAATAACTAATAAAAAATTTAAATCATTTAATAGAATTTCTTTTAGAAGTCAACATATATATAAATAAGCGTGATCCACTAGAAGTCAGCACGACTTCAAAAGAGAAAAAAATTACTCCTTCAAAAGATCAAAATCAAGACAATATGGATCTTTTTCTGAAATTCATTAATAGAATTTCTTTTCGAAGTCAACATAAATATAAATAGGCGTGATCTAAAAAAAAAAATTACTTCTTCAAAAGATCATAACCGATACAACATGGACCATTTTCTGGAATTCAAAGGGAATTATTTGAAATATTATATTATGACAAATATTATGACGACCAGAATATCGGTAACCAATAACTTGGGTTTCGTTAATCAAAATGTTGAACAACAAAATGCCTTCATGATGCGTAAGTTCAAGACTGACAAAACTGACATTATTCTAAGTGATCTGTACAGAGCTGATTTCTCAATGCGTGATATCTATCTATTTTCTAAACTGAAATTGATGATAAAATAAAATCGTTTTGATAGCAGCTATCTCATGCAAACGGTTTCAAGTGATATACTAAAGACTATTCTTTCGACCACTGAATATAAAAAATCTTTTAAAAATTTGTTGGATGTGTCCAGTATTGTGTTACCTTAGACAAAGACAATTTTAAATAACCAACAATAAAAAAACAAAAAAATTATTGTTTAGGAGTAGTTTCATCAGTTCTGGAACAGACTGTGTATGGTGGCTAAAATGTTGCTACAAAAAAAAAACATTAAGATATTTAGGTTGTTAACACATCAATACTCTGTCATTGTCAGCAATCTCTCAATAGAAAAATTCTTACTTAAATTTCTTAGTAAGGTAGCGTATTCGAAAATTACTATACGTTTTCCGAGACAAGCTACAATTGGTATCTATCATCCAGACTTACACAGTAATGGAATCATAATAAGACTTGGGTATTTTCATTATATACATGTGTATCCTAAATTACTATTTAAGACCAATAGGTACAACAAACGAATGTTAATATTTCAATTGAATTCATATATTATATTTTTTATAAAATGATTATATTTTAACGTATCTTGTCGTATCATTTATATTTTTATTTTACCCTTTTTATAAAATTATTAGATTTTTATGCCCTCCTGAAGTACTTCGCTCAGTTTCATACATCATATCCATTTTCAACGACAATGTAAAATCGACGTTAATAAATAACAATTACTCAAGATAATATTATGCTACCTTATACACATAATAATAATTACAGATATATAAATATTTAATATATTTATTTGCAGTTTGTAATTACTTCGTCAGTATAAACACCGAACACTTGTGCACTGCAATTAGTGGTTACGCATACGTCAAGGTGTCCGCTGTTTTGGTCTTAAGTTAATTTTTTAATATACGTAACAAGTAATTTTTTAATTTAATGTTGCTGGACTTGTAAAAAATATAAAAACAAATGTAAACATATATAAAAAAAATATATTAAAATTGTTGAAATATTTTTCAATTTTTGCTGAGTTGATCTTTAATCTTCAAGATATGTTAAATCATTTTTACATGACCTCCTTTGTGGTGAATCAATGAATTCTTTTGATTAAATAAGAAAATTGAAAAACTTGAATGTTGACCTAAGTTAAGTTAAAAAAATTTAAGTTTTCTCACCTATTTTTATTAAAACTTAACCTATACCTGATGTACAATAAAGCAGTTG